CTGAAACGACCGAAAAAGTTTGTTTATTAAAGCATTTTTTAGAGCTTATGAATACATTTAGAAGTATTTTTAAAACCTTTAATTTTTTTTTTTTTTTTATCACAAACTTTTGCAATTCAAAGAAACCCTTCCTTAACTGAGGGGTCGTAAATTTTACATGGTTTAATTTACTTAATTTTACAACACTTCAAACCATCAAAGTATTTTTTTATAAAACTTGAATTTTGCCAATAAATTTTTATTTGATTTAAGAATACACAAAAACGTTTTTTAAAGTGTTGTTCCCCTGACGCCCACAAGATCTGGGGTCTAAAGTTAGAGTTTTTTTAAATACATTCTCGATTGACACTAGAATAACTATACAATGTTTAAAGTTTGAAACATGCCCCCAAGTTGTCTTGTGCACAAAAAAAGCATTTCTCCTCCTCTATAGGTATTTATGAAAAATACCTATAAACTGAAAAATCATGTAACATTTATATTCATAAATTCATTTTAAAAAATTTTCAATAGTTGTTTAGGATAAGTAATAATAAATGTAATGCTATTTGTTACTTAATTTTTTTAAAATAGAAAAGAAAGTACTCCAAAGACTCTCCCCATCTAATTGATGTGATGTGTGAGAGGAAGCAATAATTTTAAAATGTTTTTGTGTATTCCTAAATCAAATTTATTGAGTTCAAATTTAATCCAAAAAATCTTCTGACGATTTGAAATGGTGATCGTGTAAAATTTATAACCCACTCAATATTTTTTTAGTTATTTATGTACTTCAAGAAGTATTTATCACAAAATACCGCTGAGAGCATTTAACCTGGAAGTTTACGTTTCCTTCCTTACCAATGTTGCATATATAACCAGAGCCAGCTTCAAATTACATACCTCCAGTTCTTAAATCAGAAATCTAACCACAACGCCACAACTGCTGTCAAAAGGAAGTTGCATAAATCGAAATAACCTGGCTCAGACAAAATGAAAAATATCTCGAAATTTTGTCATAAGCTCTATACAATGGTTCCATAAAAAGATATTTTCGGTTCTTTTAGATCAAGTTGACTATGTTGTAAAATTTTCACCAATAAAGTTGTTAAAGTTACCGAGAAGTTACCGATAAAAAAAACAATAAAAAACCTACAAAGTTACCTATAAAACATATTTTGTTGAAACAATTGTAAAAACATTTTTGAGTTTTTCACATGTCACAGTCACATGCTACGTATACTCATATTAAAAAGACTTTAAGCTTCCTAGAACGTCAACGAAACTAATGCAATTACAAAATCAATAATACAACGTTTTTTTAAACAGACAGTACACATTAAAGTATTTTTCGAATATATGAAATAACACATAAGTTTTTAGTAAAATTATTTCCATTTTCTCTTTTTGTGATATTACTGTTAATTTTTTTTGAAGCACCTTAAGAGCCAGAAAAAATTTATATCTTTAGTTTATATCTAACTTGTGATAGTAGAATGTAAACCTGCATTACTCAAGGAATTTGAGACAGCGTATCTTGACAAACTAAAGATATCTTTTACATGGTTTTTTGCACTTTTTGTAAAAATATTTACAAGACTTAAATAGTTGTAAAGACTCGAGTTTTAAATAACTAATAAATTTGGCAAAGAGCCTCATATTTAAGTATTGCATAAATTATAGCATTCCATAAATTAGAATAAAACTAAATAATATCTAAAGTTGTCTTGATTCTACTCTAAACCGATAAAAACACAAAATATTTCAACTAATCTGAAAGTATTTTGTGAAGAAACAGCGTGTTATATATTGTAGGCTAGAGTTATAAAATGTTGAGGATATTATTTCTTGTATTTCAATGATATTTAAATTTTTGAAATTTTTTTTTTCATAGCCAGTAATACTAATCTATGTGTCATCTAAATCTTTATTTTCGCCAATATTGCCGGTAGTATATAGATATAAGTTGTCGGCAATCGGATTCGTAAGCATTTGACAATAAATAATATTAATTCTAATTTCGGTATACTAACTATAAATATGTATATATATATATATATATATATATATATATATATATATATATATATATATATATATATATATATATATATATATATATATATATATATATATATATATATATATATATCATATATATATATATATATATATATATATATATATATATATATATATATACTATATATATATATATATATATATATATATATATATATATATATATATATATATATATATATATATATATATATATACATATTTATAGTTAGTATACCGAAATTAGAATTAATATTATTTATTGTCAAATGCTTACGAATCCGATTGCCGACAACTTATATCTATATACTATATATATATATATATATATATATATATATATATATATATATATATATATATATATATATATATATATATATATATATATATATATATATATATATAATATTATTTATTATACTATAAGTATAATAAAAAGTTTTCTTTATTTGAGTAAAAGCCACATTTTTTACAAAGAAAGGTGTAGTAAATGCTCAAAGAAGACCTTTAAGTCTTATCACAGAACCAATGTTGTTTATCTTGTCAGAGATGGCATTGTTCCACAAATCTATTAGTTCAAAGCCAAGTCTAAGCAAAGCGCTACGGCTCTTAAATTAGCAGCTTATTTTTGTCAAAACGTTTTATAGGATTTTTTAAAATGGATGGTATGTGCACCTAATTAAAATTTATAACGCAACTTAAGTTACGTTTGAAGGCCGTCTATGGAGGAAAACCCCACTAAATGCAGCTTTAAAACTATTTATTTATCTTTTATGACCTAGTCACCAAAACTTTTGCTTTACAATTTGTAGTGTTCTCCAAGACATTTTATTTCAAAAAAATATCTGGTGGTGGTGGTGGCAAATTATAAGGCGGGAATAACTGAAAGGCATTATCAACTTTGAAATTATATTTATGACGTTCTAACCACAATAAATGAATTAGAACAATTAAAGATTTGAGATTGTTTATATGTGAGAGAGTTTATAGGTGAGAGAGTTTATAGGTGAGAGAGTTTATAGTTGTAAGTTGACAAAATGGAGATATATATTCATCATAATTGTTGTTTTGGATGTGGGATTAGACCAAGCAGCTGTCGTAACAGTAAATACGTTTGTATTTTATTAGAAGTTAAATTAAAGTGTTAAAGAAACTAATGGGTTTTTTAACTTAAAGAATACATGGCTTCATTAACTGACGCTGTTAAAGAATACATGGCTTCACTAACTGACGCTGTTAATTAACATTTCTAATAAAATACAAATATATTCACTATTACGATAGCTGCTTGGCAGTTCAAATGTATATAATAGATAAAAACGGCAATCTACAAACTTTTCATTTTGAACTTTAAATTTATAATATTATTGGATCGGGTTCTGAGTAGTACAAATTGGTTTCTTGTTTTTTTAATTTTTGCAAACAAAAATTTGAGAATAGAATCTGCTGCAAGTAAGTTCACATTTTGGGGTCCAAAAATCTTGACAGCAACACGTTTTGTTTTAAATAATGATGGTCCTTAAATAATGATGGTCCTTAAAGAAATAATCATAAGAAGAAAATTATAATAAGAAATAATATTAAAGAAAATAAGAATTTTCTTGTTTTATAGCGACATTATAGTATCAGACAAAACCAAATGTTGTTTTTCTGCTCAATAGAATTATTCTTTGTAAAAGAAGATTAAACGTTTAAAGAAGACCTATTTTTTTTTATTTTTCAATTTATGTTTTATCTAAATATTATTAAAGAGAAACATAATTTAAAAAAATTATTCGATTTTATGAAATAATTTAAAGTTTATTTAATTATAAATTTCGATCATAATAGAAAACTCTTAAAATATACTTGAAGTTTGAAAATAAATTGAAGAAGTAGAGATTATTAATAGATTTTTTGAAGCAGAATTTGATGATTTGAGATAAAAAACTAAATCGTAAATTATAAAAAAACATATGTGTTGGCTAACTCATTTGTTTATTTGTCATTTAAAATAAAACTTTTTACAGAGCTGGTCAAAAACAAGGTCTTTTTATTCAAACCTATTAGTTCAACTGAAAAATACAACTGATAAAAAAGAAAATGAATTAGGTGAAAATAGATGAGAACTCTATCTCAACTGACAATTATCTTGTCTTCAATTTTTTTTTTATTATTCTAATTTATATATTCCATTAATCTATTGCGTCAAATTCCTATTAACCAATATTACTAGTAGTTAAAATATATAAAAATAACTTGATTTGTTTATTATATTGAACTTATAAATATATGTAACTTACAAATATATACATATATATATATATATATATATATATATATATATATATATATATATATATATATATATATAGGGCAGTAGGAAGAGAGGGGGAGCACAGGGGAGCATGTGCCTGTTTGCGCCTTTCAAATATTGAAATAGAATATTTACTTGAATAATAAAAGTCAGAGTTTGTTAAAAATTAAAAAACTAAAATTAAAAAATTGGAATATTCAATTAATTTAATAGTTATTTTTGTAAACACAACCGCTTTCTTGATCTCTCTCGCATTTGTTGCAGTTTAAAATTTATACCATTCTCTCCATTTTGAATTATTGCATGCAATTTGTTTGCCCATTTGGCGCCTTTAAAAAAGTGCTCTCTCTTCAAAATATTCTGGCTACGGGCCTGTATATATATATATATATATATATACATATATATATATATATATATATATATATATATATATATATATATATATATATATATATATATATATATATATATATATATATATATATATATATATATATATATATATATATATATATATATATATACGAATATTGAATAATAATAATAAAAATAATAATAATAATAATAATAGCAATAATAATAATAATAATAATAATAATAATAATAGAAATAAAATAAGCATTATTTAAAAAAGTAAGAATTGAACCGTAATTAAGTATCAAACTTTTGCACAAGAAATCTGGATACTAGTGTTTTGTTTACAGAAAGTGAGTTGAGCACCAGTTTGTTTACGTCTTATTTAACGCACGAATTGAAAATCTGTGGAAAAAAACTAAAACTGGTTTCTTTCTTACTAAAAACATCATTATGAGACAAACATGAGTGTCATTATCTTGACATTATTATGCTATAATGTATTTTATCACATGTTGGATAAATTTGCTATTGATGTCAACACGTTGTTTTTCAACTTTCGGTACCGTATTTTTAACCTATTTAACGTAGCGCCCATTTATATTAGACTTTTGTTTTATTATTTACTTTTAAATTTTAGTTATTACAAGCTTTTCAAAGTTATTTTATTTTCATTTATACAAGTTTTTTAAATTTTTTTTGCTCTTTGGCTTAACTTTAAAGAAACTTTATTCTGTTCAAAATAGTTTGAGGATTATACTAAACTATGTTTATATAAAACTATGTTTATATTAGCTGCATTTATTATTGTTAGTTTTAGCTGTTTATTGTTTTAAAACAGCGGTTATAACCGTTTTTTAACTGTAAGAAATAATTAGTTCTAATTAAATATTAATACAAATGAATCTTTATGAATCTGCCATAGTTTTAATCAAGCTTGTAATATTAACAAACAGCGCATCTATTGGAATTTTATCTGTTAGGGATCGTCCATAAATTACGCAACGCAAAATTTCACAATAAAAAATATCAAAAGTTTTCCCTCGCAGAGTCTTAATTTGAATAAATAATAAAAATAGCAAATTAAGTTAAATGAAAAAAATAAAGCCTAATATCTCCTACTTCTGATCCTAAAATATTTATGGACGATCCCTATTATATTATGGACGATCACTTAGTATTAAAAAATGAAAATAATATATATATATATATATATATATATATATATATATATATATATATATATATATATATATATATATATATATATATATATATATATATATATATATATATATATATATATATATATATATATATATATATATATATATATATAGACATATATATATATATATATATATATATATATATATATATATATATATATATATATATATATATATATATATATATATATATATATATATATATATATATATATATATATAATATATATATATTCTCTTGAATCAAGTTGAACCAAAAACTTTGAAATTTAGACAAAAAACCAAACTCAAGCAAATTGATTTTAGGTCAAAGTAAAACAACTGTCACACTGAAACAAACTTTTAAAGATAATTAAGTAAACTGTAACATCACGTGTTTACATTTCCATTTTGGTTCAGGAAAGAGCAATAATGATTTAAAACAAGTTTAAAACAATTTGAATTTAATGATAATCATTAAATTAATTTGAAGGATATTATTGTATGCAAAAGATGACTCTAAATATATATATTTTTTTAAATTGAGTTTTAGTAAATTATAATTTAAGTACATAAAATTCACTAATATAAAATATATATTACAAGTTATTGCATTGTAGGTTTGTATTAAAGAATAGAACAAAACTGTTAATTTATGAGTTTCACAATTACAATATTGGTTGTCAATATAACCTGGTTGTATTTAAAACATACACGATAATTGTTTATATAATTACTGTTTAAATAAATAGTCTTATATAAAACAGAGAGTGGCGATTATTTGATAAACGAATATTTTAACAAACATTCGTCAAATTGTTAAGAATAATCGTTCGCTTTCATTTTAATAGCTGAACGCTTATTTAATAAATAACAATCGTTTACCAAATGTTTTAAAAATATTCTTTAAACGAATATACTTGTAGACCACACGGGTAAAACCACAGATGTCACATTTTTTCATTTTGAGAAAAATGAAATTTACTTTTTAGCTACATTAGATATCTGTTTATTACAGGGTTATGCAAAATTATAAAGTGCTTTATGCAAAATTATAAAGTGCTTTATGCAAAATTATAAAGTGCTTTATGCAAAATTATAAAGTGCTTTATGCAAAATTATAAAGTGCTTTATGCAAAATTATAAAGTACTTTATTTAACAATAAATAAATGCCATTATAATAGTACAGGTCATTTTCAGAATCATCTAAGAATGCATAGGAATTAAAATACAATATTAAATTGTAATTAAAAATTAAATGACTAACTGGCTGAAAAACATAAACCAAATCAGTAACGTTTTTATCTAATTAATGCAAGTTTTTTAAATTAATGTTAAAAAATAAAAATTTAACACCTTACATGGCAAGAAAAAGTCGAATAACTAAGGAAATTCATGAAACAATTAAAAACATGTCTAATTCGATAAATAATCATTCAACCAAATACATTGCCGAAACTTTAAACATTAGCCAATATGCTTTAAGAAACTGCATAAGAAATCATCAAGAAGGCATCAAACTAGCTACTAAGAGAGAACGCCACAAGCAAACAATTAAAAACAAAAATTTGTTGTTCAGTGAAATCGAAAATACTTTATTTAATTCGATAGCAATAAATAATGAACTGACACAAAATGAAATGGTAAATGAAGTTAATGCAGCAACCGGTATGGTAATATCTCAATCAACAGTATCAAGGAAAGTGCGGAAAATAAATATAACGCGAAAAAGGCTTTCATTGGTTCCCGAAGAACGAAATTCCTCAGCAAATATTGAAAAAAGGGCCATATATGCCCGCCGTATCTCGCGTATTTCTAGTGATAAATTAGTCTTTTTAGACGAATCAGGATTTAATCAGCATTTGAGAAGACGATATGGGTATTCCCAAAAAAATGAAAAGGCATATTCCGTTGTTTCCGGAAACAGAAATACAAATCGAAGTTTGATGTGTGCAATAAATATTTCTGGTGTGGTTGCTTATGAATTAAGAACTGGAGCTTATAATGCTGAAAACTTTGAAAAATTTATAAGAAACAACCTGTGTAATTATTTTCGACAAAACCCAGACCATATACTGATAATGGATAATGTTCCATTTCACAGATCAAGAAGTATTATAGAAGTTTTAAATGAATTAAGAATAAATAGAGAATATATACCGGCATGGTCTCCTCAATTAAATCCCATTGAGGAATTTTTTAGCATGATAAAGGCAAGATATCGCGGAATAAAAGCTTTAAATAATGAAATTAATGATGAAATGCATTGGAAATAATTTTTAATCGAATGCGTGAAATTAACGAAGAATTAAGTAGATTTTGGAGATCAATGGAACGATGGTTGGAAAAAGATAAACAAAACATGATTTTTGAATAAAGTAGTTGCTTAAATTAATATAATTTTTTTGAAGTCTAAATGTTAAATGACATGAGCTTATATATAAATAAATCATATATTCGAACTTTTTTATGCTTTAAATGGATTTATTAAACGATTCGAAATTTTGCATAAAGCACTTTATAATTTTGCATAAAGCAATTTATAATTTTGCATAAAGCACTTTATAATTTTGCATAAAGCACTTTATAATTTTGCATAAAGCACTTTATAATTTTGATGTCTGTGTTCCATCACTTTATAATTTTGCATAAAGCACTTTATAGTTTTGCATAACCCTGTAATAATTTATTTAACTAAAAGTATATTTTTCTAACATTTTAGTCCTTATACAATAAAAAAAAACCCAGTTTTTTGTGCTATATACAAGTATTTTTTATTCACAGTGTTCTTTTGAAAACAAGACACTAATTTTGGACATCTGTGGTTTTTCCGTTGTAAACTAATCAACTCATAAATTACGTTAGCTTGTAACCTTTTAGAGAACTTATTTTTTTAAAGGTAGATGGTAACACATTGTAATATACAACTACAACGTACTAAGTGTGTGATTGGGATAATAAAGCCGTCCCTTCCCCCCCTCCCCCCTCTTTTAATAAAAAAAATTTAAACAAAATATTATATAAAAGTTTTTTTGTACCTTTATACAAAATAGCATTGCAACCTTATCTCTTCCCCAACTATTTACCACAGATGATTCCATGATGTCTGTGTTCCATCACATTATATCAAGTTTGTATAACAATACAAAAACCAAATGTGAACACAACGTTAATAAAAATGTTTTGTTTTTAATTTCAAAGAAAAATGAAATAAATTTAAAAAAGTTTTTTTTAATGTTTTTCTACTCTATCATGTAGAAAAAAACGTTTTAAAAAGTGGATCTTTATTTACAGTTTTAAAATTACGTAAAATCTATAATAAATTATATAATAAAAAATGTTTATTATATTGATCTTTATTTACATAAATCACCATTTTGTTCATACTTCTTTTTAGCAGCATTTTTAATAATTTGACTGAAATAAATAAACTGTTAGGAAATGTTGATAGCGTTAGATTGTAACCGCTAGATTCTGACGCGTTAGAAATTGATTTCAAAAGGTTAGAAACTATCTAAAACAAAAGATCAACCAACGTATATGCGGAGTCTCGAGGTTGAATATTGGTGTAATAAAATTTTATAACTGCTACTTAATTTAACTTGATGAGATTATGTTTTTTATGTTATTGGATAAATGTTACAAAATTCTTTTTATATATGAAACTATCTAAAACAAAAGATCAACCAACGTATATGCGGAGTCTCAAGGTTGAATATTGGTGTAATAAAATTTTATAACTGCTACTTAATTTAACTTGATGAGATTATGTTTTTTATGTTATTGGATAAATGTTACAAAATTCTTTTTATATATGAAAAAATTCTTTTATGGCAAATATAAGTGTTGTGCTAATGAAACTTACCTGTTTATTTCTGCTCTGTAAACCGTAAAAATAACTTTCAAATTTTTCAGAAAACAGGTAATAAAAGTTACGTTCTCAAATTTAAAAAAAAAAAAATTTATACAGTCACTCATCTATATACTTATTTTAATTTATTTCTCCAGCGTCCTAAGTGTAAGTCGCAAAAACGCGAAAAATGCGTCCAACTTTTCATGGCGACCAAATTTAGATAATTATCCAATATGACCGCCGCGTGAGACTGCCTAGTCTAGTGTTTCTGCAAGAAACTTTTTATTTGCAATGGCTAATGTTTCTGTCACATTTTTTAAAGGTATAATGCCTATACATAATGCGACAGAGTTCTTATCGCTAATAAAACAGTAATGCTGAAAAGTTTTTCAGTTACATAAATTAAATAATAAAATCAAATTAAAACTTTTCATTTTGTATTTTGCCTCGCACATAAATTGCAAATCAATTTAAAATCCTTTAGACTGGAGACAATTGAT